TAAAAAGATTTTTGGTCGAACAAAACTTGGCAAAATGAATGTTATACCTAGAATCTCCATTCTACATAGGATTTACATGCAATTGTTGGTTGCACTGTTTGTAGGTTTCTTTTTCTCTTGGAAATTTTCAGCCATGGGAGGAATTAGAAAGTGAAGTTTCTCTTCCTAACGTACGTGCTATTAAATTAAGATGCCATGCATATAGCTTTTGATTTTTAGACTACATGATCAACTGTAGAAAGATTAAAAATTCTTTACATCTGAGAGTTGGATTTATGCGATTTTCTAGTTTGCATAAGAATAGGAGCTCATTTGTATGTTTTCTTTCTAACTTTTGTGTTTGTTTTTTTTTTTTTTAAATTTTTTTATGAGGATAAGGACTGGTTTCTCTCTTTATATATATATATATATATATTTGTTAATTATGCATATAATGTACAAAGATTCATTTAATTGAGAATTAAAATTTATTTTTCTTCTAGAAGGGAAAACTGATAGTATATATCTTCCAGAGTATGACACAAAGTACATAAAATCTCCTACATAATTGAATGAAGCAGTTAAAGTTGTATATATGTATATATATATATATACATAAGAATAAGTAGGTGGTCACTGAAAAGGTTCTCTGCAGATAGGACAACGTTTAAATGATTGTTACTTGAATAAGGATGAGTTTGGATATAACTTCTGTAATTATTCTTGTATTTGAATTTTGTTTTATGGTCTTATTAACGATGATTGTTATGAGTAAAAACCATCTAAATTTTGATTTTTATTATATTTTTCTCTCTTCTTTAATGTTCATTTTAATTTGTTTTTTCCCTCAATAAAACTTTATCCAAACTGCCCCTCTAAGTTATAAATATAAAGATAGTTAAAATAAAAATATATACTAACTTCAACAAATGCCAAACTTCAATGATCTCTTACTATATTAATTTTCTTGTATCTCTAAATTTATTCTATTGATCCCCAATTATATCAAAGTAATTATATATTATTAAGCTTCTAGGAAATTATTATATATATACATGTTAAAACTATATATAAAAAATTTAAAATTTTTTTTTTAAAAAAAATATTAATAAAACTCTTTCAACTTGTTCCAATTCTCAATTTAGAGGTTTAACGAGTTACATAAAATCCTTCATTGATGATATTTTGACTCTCAAAATAAAATTTCCAAACACACAGTAATATCTGCACCCACCTGCAGTTAAATCGATGCACAATATATGCATAACGTATGAAGGGAAAAGAAAATGGCAAAAGTGCAGAAACATTAAAATAGCAGCCATTAAAGACTAAATAATTATTATTGGTCAGAACAAAAACACTAATTAATAAAATATCCATAACATAGGGCATATTTAAGAATGGCCACATTCAAAGTTTCTGTGAATACTGTAATATATAAACCCACTTCTTTTTTTCTTTTCCTTAACATAACTCTCAGACTCAAATCATCAAATTTCATGTCTTCCAGTCAGTAAAACTTCCTGATCGAAGTCTTACAGCCTCAACGTCAAATCTAGTCCATTAGGATCATTCTTTTCATCCCGCAGCTTGATTATCTTATGCATGGCTGGA